GACTTTTACTAAGTTTGACTTTAGGTTAAATGGGGTAATTAGAATAATAGATTGATGATGGGTCCCTATTTATGGTATATGTGATTTTGTAGATACAATGTTGGAGTAGTGATTACTTCAGGTATCTTTCAGACTATGAGGTGAGTTATTCCTCACTATAATCGGGGGTCGAAGGCACCAATGTTGACCTAATGGATTTTTAAATGTATTTTGGTATATAAAATGCGGTATTCTGTAGAGATTGAATGGTTGGTAGATTTGTATGATTACGTGTTTGCTGGTTATTATTTGTTATTTGACTATGTGTATATGTCGACATATTGTGATAATTGGGTTGAGGCAGTCTTGGTTTCTACTAAATGCCAAGATACCTGGGTCGATCCGAATTAGCTGTAGGCCTTGCGAGGCGGTCCAGTCATACTGTAGACACACTGAGCAGTCCATATAGGTTGTACGCCTTGCAAGGCAGTCCAGTTAGGTTGAAGGCTCATACACGCATCTTGTAATATGTTTGTTTATGTGGTGTATTCTTAGAGAAACTTATTGAGCTTTGGCTTACAATTTGATTTCATGGTTTTAGGTACATCAGATGATAGGGACAAGACGAAGGCATGATTATGCATATCATCCTCATATATTTTATTAATAAAATGGTTTTTGAGATACTCTGATTTATGACTATGGCTTTTGGAATGCATGTTTTAGATGACTTATTGATTATCATATGGTTTTGACAATGATAAATTTTACTATGATTTTTGGGATGTTACAAAAATTTGTTTTTATGCTTGATATAAGCTTGACCTTGTTGAAATTGTTCAAAAACATAAATATGATCAGATACAATGGCTTTTGCCGATATTTAACATCTTTTCCAGCAAAACATGAGCTTTATGCCCAAACATGGATTTTTTGATGAACTTAGGCTTTCCATATTTCTTTTTAATCTTTACTCTATTCTATATCTTTCGTCTTTTTTTCTTCTTCTTCTAAAATCGAACATGATTTTTCAAGGTCATGAACAATCTAAAAATCGAGATCTCAAGATATGACTTATATTTTTTCATTAGGGCTCTTCAAGATCTCAAAAACGATCTAAAAATTAAACTTGGTTCTCGTTTTAGTTATTCATCAAGAACTAGATATCGAACTGGTAGTTTCTTATTTTGAGTTTTTCAAGATCTGAAACTTGTTTATAGAAAGGGTTTCAATTCTCAAGAACTCAGGCCCTCAAGCACGATGTCAAGAACTCAACACACATACATACATCAAAAAAACTGATTTTCAAAAGTGGTTTTATTTTTAAAAAGGATTTTCACCCATGTTTGGCTGAAGAAGAAGACCTTAAACTTCAAAAAAAAGCATGAAAACTTAAATTTCGAGGGAAAAACGCTTGAAACCATAAATCCCACCATATATGTAACATCCCGAAATCAGGTATATCTTTTTGGCCCTTCTTCTTTCATTGAGTTGTTAGTTTTAGCCCTTGTGTAGTTTTTGTGATAATCGAGTACACTGGGAGTAATAGGGAGTACGCCACGTGTACTCGTGAGCGTATTCATGCTGCTGAGGTTGCCTGGTACACGGGGCGTACCGAGCCCAAAATGAAACCCTAATTCTAAATGAGCCCCTATTTAAAGAACTTTATGGCCTCATTGTTGGCCACCATTCCTAGAGACTTGTCCATCCAAAACCCTAATCCTCATTCTTGTAGCTAGTGAGTGCCCTTGAGAGCTTGTTGGTGTGTTCTTGAGCCTTAAGAGTGGAAAGCAAGCTTTGGAGAAGAAGGAGTAAGAGCCCAAGCACTTGAATCTGAGCTTAACAGTGTGAGAAGCTTCATTTGGAGGTATAAAGCTTCAAACTTACTTCCTTTTCTGTTGTGTGTTCTTATATGGGATGTTTAGGATTTTTGTCCCAAAAGTTGATGGCTTTATGAGTTGATGAGCTCTAAGAACCTAGCTATGTCCCTTTCTAGTGTATTTCGTGTTATAGGGTCATAAAAATCCAATCTTGGTTAATAAGAACTAACCATGCATGGGATATAAGCTTAAGGAAGAATATGGATGAAGATTTTGAGTGTTTAAAGCGAAACTAGCCATGCAAAGGCGTAAAGTCTTTGACTTTTTGGACTAGGAGACTCTAGGGGGTCCAGATCTGTATTTCGAGCCAAGGTCTTAACTAATTAAGACCATAAGTGAGAAAATAGTGAATCTGGGATGTACGCCGAGCGTAAATCCTAGTATACGGGGCGTAGGGTTCGATTAACCCGATACCAGCAAAGAGGACGAGTACGCCCAACGTAGGGATCTGGTACGCGCAGCGTACTCGTGAGCGTTGACTTTTGTTGACTTTTAGGGTTCGGTCAACAAATGGACTTTTGGACTCACGAAGGGGTAAAATGGTCTTTTAACCTTCTGAGAGAGCATAAAAGGGGGGGGGGGGGTCTAGCTTAATGGGTGCTATTATTAAACAAGAAATTCTATTTATGTATTAGACGGAGGCTAGATTGGAGATTTGAGTATAAGATTATTCTGAGATAGTTCGAGGTGAGTCTTCTCACTATACGTTACTTAGAGTGAAATTTATATGTGATCGGAAGGTCTTATGTATTGATATGAGTTATGTGAATTTATGTGATATGTATATGTCGTATTTTTGGGACAGGAAGGTCAATAAGGTAAATGACGGAAGGGAATCAGAGTTATGAACAGAAGGCAATCATAGTTATGGACAGAAGGCAATCATAGTTATGGCCGGAAGGCAATTAGAGTTTGGGCCAGAAGGCAAATCATGGTAGGGCCGGAAGGTCTACCAGAGTTGTGGGACCGGAAGGTCCCACTGAGACACATTGACCGAGTCTTATAGAGTTATAGCCTAGAGTGGTTAATTTATATGCATGTGGTATTTTGGGGAACTCACTAAGCATTTGTGCTTACCGTGTTATGTGTTATGTGTTTCAGGTACTTCCGAGGATCGCGGGAAGGCACCGACGTGATTGTACACACACCTTGGACATGAAGCTATGATTGTGGATCTTGGAATTGATATGATGTTTTGAAAACTTTGTAGACTATTATGGTGTTGTATATAAAATGACATGTGTTTTATGAAATTAAAAATGAAAATTTTATTTTAAAAATTATGTCATTTCAATACATAGTCATACTGGTATTTTTAAACAATTTCAAAAAATTCATTAACATATCAAACCTAAAAATAAATTTAATGACTAAATATATAGGAAAATTTTCAATAGAGAACAATTATTAATCAAAAAACCAAGAAACCAATATAAGCGTTAGAATTTAAAACGATCAACGACGAAGGAAATGTTGTAGACTTTTATATTGGACGACGCATATACATCGGATATATCGAAAAAAAGATCGAATATATCATTGTTCATAATTTTTCGTCAACTTTCCATAGAGATCCATATTGATATACATTTATTTGTTTTTTAAGTTGATCTATTTTATCGAAAAAATTCAATAAATATATCAAAATTCATATTTTTTTGAACTCTAATTTCAAAAAAGGAAAAAAAAAAACGCATTTTTAGTTCAAATTCACATTGCGAATCTGCTCATATTCACATTGCGAATCTAACCAGCTTCACATTGTGAATCTGCTCGATTCACAATGTGAATAATAGTAAGTCAGATTCACATTGTCAATTTTTAAAACTATATTACATACTGTTCAAACTCAGAATGTGAATAAATCATTTTGTTGATCGTACAAAACTAATTTATTAGTAATCAAAACGTTAAAATATTATTAAATTAAATGAAAATACATTTTGAGTCATTCGTAAATTTCATTAAATTAATTTGTTAATGATCAAAGAGTTAAAAGTGCAAGTCAAATTCACATTATGAGTTTTCAAATTGAAATATTTATAGTTCAAACTTACACTGTGAATCTAAAGTTATCGAGTTTTTTTTAATCGATGTTGATGTTAATTAAAAGAGGATAAAAAATTAAAATTTTTGGTATAATTAGTTTTTTTTAATAAAAATTAACTTAAATGTTGAAAAAAAATAACAAAAGGAAGTGAGTTTTTTTCGAAAAAAAAAGTTTGTTTTTATATGTCAACATATAAAAAATGTGGCTTAAATTTTTTTTAAACAAATGAAAAGTTACATTTTTTTTTTTTGGATAAAGAAGTGAGTTTTATGGTATAACTCATTATATGTGAATCAAATATACAATTGTACAACAATTCTTTTGGCCATTGATTTAAATTTTGACGCTTACGATTGATTCGTTATTTCATTATTAATAATAGTTCTTTATTTAACTTTGTTTGATATATATATATATATATATATATATATATATATATATATATATATATATATATATATATATATATATATATATATATATGAGAAAAATGAATATACCCCTAAGGATATATAAGCTTAGGTACCCAAACTCACTATACTACATCGTTTTGTATCATATATACACTGTAATTGTTCAATATTTTTATAATTCAACTTCTAACTTGATTTACTTCCAATATTTTTATCAATTTCACATTTATATTCCTCTTACATAATTTTCATTTTCAACTATAATATATATAACCTAGTAGGTGTTCGGTAAAAAAATGTGATGTAAGAGGAAGATAATAACGAAATTTCGAAAATTTTGAAAGTAAATCAAATTAAGGGTTAAAGTTTAAGAACATTATAATGAATATATTAAACAAAATAACGTATTATAATAGGTTTGGGTATCTACGCTTATATACCCTTAAGTATATATATATATATATATATATATATATATATATATATATATATATATATATATGTCCGGTTAGCTTACAGCCCGTTCAATAATTCACTAACAAGTCAGATAAAATCTAACGTAGATGACGTCATTTTCAACCAATGACCAAATGCATGATATCATCGAACTTCATTTCGACGAGCTACTCCGTTCTATATATATATTCTCCATCCTATTTTGCTTAACCAAACTAAGCCCTCGTAATCCTTTAACTTTAGGAAAGCATTTTTCCACCTTCAGCAATCAAATGGAATACTCCGGTGAAGGAAGTAGCAGCGCTACTTCACCCATGGCCATTTCCTCCGCCATAGCTTCAAGTTTCTCACAGTCATCCAAAACTAGTACCAACACTTCACCTCAGCTTAGCCCCACTAGTGTCCTGACTCATCCGCCACCGTCCTCTCCTTCCTCGCCACCTCATCCGGTGGTTCTCAGCCCTTGCGCAGCCTGCAAAATTCTCAGGCGACGATGCGTTGATAAATGTGTCTTGGCACCATACTTCCCACCCACTGAGCCACTCAAGTTCACCATCGCCCACCGAGTGTTCGGAGCTAGCAACATCATCAAGTTGTTGCAGGTAAAACCAAAAATAATTACCAATCGGTGAATTTACCCTCCAATCCAAGCTCTCAAAACCTAATTGTCATCATGACATATGAGTCGATACTATGATTTCATTTACGTCTTCATCATATTATTTATTCTTGCAAAGTTTCCGCAAAATAACAGCAGCTTATTTCTTATTCAAATTATTATTTCTTTGAACCAAGAAAAATCGCAACTTTTTTGTGTGAATTCAAGACTTTGACTTTTCTCCTTTTACTCCAGCCTTATTTTCCCATGTTCCTAACATACATTTTATTCTAAGTTCAAAACTTTGACTCACACACGTTTAATTTACTCATAAATCTAAGTATTTTGCTGAAAAGAAAATTGGATCCTCAATCTATTGGTTAAATAACACATTTTCAAGATTTACTCGTTAAAGTCTCTTAAGCGATTTTATTTCATAAAATGTTATAATTCAGAACATAATAAACTTTATAATACTATAAAATTAAAAGTAAATGTATTAATTTATAAAGGAGTGTACTGTGGGACCTTGGTTTGAACAAGACGGGTTCACAAAGTTGACATTTGTTTGTGTAATATTATAAAAAACGAAGAGATAGTAGTTAGTAATAGCGATTCCTAAATAGAAACGAAGATTAGTGTACCCCGTTAGTACAGTATATATATTTTTCTCATTTTATTCATATTGTTTAGCTTTAATTAAGATTGTAACGAGGTGTACTAATTGCAATGTTAATTATATATAGGAACTTCCAGAATCTCAAAGAGCAGATGCAGTTAGTAGCATGGTATATGAAGCGAATGCAAGGCTGAGAGATCCAGTTTATGGGTGCGCAGGTGCAATTTGCCAGCTCCAAAAACAAGTCAGTGATCTCCAAGCGGAGTTGGCCAAGGCACAAGCGGAGGTGCTTAACATGCAATGCCAACAATCCAATCTGTTGTCCTTGATTTGCATGGAGATGGATCAGCCACCACCACCACCACCACACCAAACTGCGTATAATGAAAATAACCTAAACTTCTTCCCCGATGATGTCAATTTGGCCAACGTATTTGAGCCACTTTGGATATGAAACTAGGGACTAGCTAACCCCTTCAAGAGGGCATCAAGCAAGGTTGGAACTTGAAAAAGAAAGGGAGATCTAGGAAGCGAAACATTCGTTAACAGAAATCAATTAAGTGCTGTAGTTTGTAAGATGTTATTAATTATACTTCAATTTACTGATCCCATAAATAGTATAGAATATAGAAGAATAAATGAAGAGTTACTCAAAGAGGGTAGAGAAATTAAAAGAGTCATGCATTGTACTAATAATATGCCAATTCTTGATTTAAAATCAAGTTATGGGTGACCTAATTTTATCTAAGTCTAATTTATGAAATTCTTCATTTGGCTTAATTTGTCAAACTTGTTATTGACTTAAGTACCCTTTTAACTCTTTTGAAGTTTAGACTTTCTATATGGCCGGGTGATGACTAAACCAATTGTATAGTTGGGGGAGTTGGGCTTTCATCGCATTTTTCAAACATGTGGAACTTCTTAATAGGAAACAAAGTCATTTGAAGGGTGCAGTCACATCCTTTCGTTAGAACAGTACACCACTATATATAATTAACGATAGGGAATATATATATATATATATATATATATATATTGTTTATTTATAAATTAAATCTCCTTCAACCATGCATAACAGAAAAGGAAAACAAAGCCCCATGCCCAAAAAAGTTGTTAATTAAGGATACCTTCAATGATGAATAGCATCGAACAAAAATCCGTACGTATTTCATCAAGTTAAATTAATGTTTTAGCCATGCATTAATTTATATAAAAAAATGAAATATCGTTTTACAAAAATTAAGTTTGATAAAGGAAGGACAATGTCAAATTTTACAGTGAACTCCAGGGTTTTAGAAAGTTCAAATTTAAAGGACAAATAGTCAAACTATATATGTTAGTATCTATGGAAAACATAATAAACTCTATACAAGGAAATATTTTACATTTCTAACAAGTATAAAAACAATAGAGTAAATGTTTCTTTTAATTGAGAGTTGATTTATTCACAATAATTTTTATCCATATACAATATATGATGCTTTAAATATTATATTATGCATCTTTATAATACATAAATTTTTATATATCACAAAATCTATTGTATAAAAATCACTTCTTTTTTAATTGATCAACATATTGTGTTTTCATAATGAATTAAACACTCTACATACTGAAACTTAAATTAGAATAAACTAAAGTGTGTGAGCATGCATGAACCTTTTAAATAACATTAGTTAGAATTGCTAAACTTCAATATGTAAGGGTTTTTTCTTAATATTTTTACAAATATAATAGCTATTTTATAGCAATATTATAAATTATAAAAACAATAATAAAAAAGCTACCATGACCTAAATAATTTCATTTCTAGATGAAGATAGAATTATAAAATTAAATAACGGAATCAAGAATTCACGAAATGTGCAATACACCTTATAACGCAAATCTGAAACCGCGTCTTTATCACGTGCATTACACCCCTATAAAACCCTACTTCCCCCTTTTTTTTTAAACACTACTTTACTTTTTTATATTAATTGATTATTATTTTTCTTAATTTGTCAAACTATGTGTATTATCAAAATTCACAATGCACGACTAGATGCTCAATTTTGTTGTATCCATAACATTCATTACTGGCTATGTCAAGCTTGAATTTAGATTTATCTTAATAAGTTTTTGAGGAATTACGTTCAAATTTTCATATAAACATTATTTTTAAATTAACGGAGAGTTGATTTATACATAATAAATTTTTTATTATACACAACAATTTATATTTTATAATTTTGCATTATATAATCATATAAAACATAAATTATTGTGTACAGAAAAAATGTTATGTACAAATCACTTGTCTTCTAAACTTTCATAAAAGTTGTAAAATTTGTTAGGCGGTGGTCGGACGGTCGACTAAGGTTATGGGACTACTCAGTCTAGGCGGAGATTAATCGGTGTCTAGACAGAGACCTTTAGTTGAGACAAAATTTATTTAGGATATATATATAGTAAAGTTCCCATATTTTCATCAAATTGACACGAAAGTCCCAAACTAATTTTTTTGACACAAAAACCTTAATTACTGACATTTATTGACACGATTGCCCTTTTTTGCCAGTGCAGTCGGTTTACTTGGTGATGTGGCACCACAAGCTTACGTGGACCACTAATTCATTAAATGACAGGCTTATGTGGAGTTTTTGACATTACTTAAGCATCGGACCTTCAATCTCCATGAACCCTAGCTTCGTATTTTCCAAATGAAAAGATGAGAATGTCATCTTCTTCATCTGTTGGAAGTAGGGCTGTGAGAAGGTTCAATCCCCCTCAAAGGACACATTGTGACTGTGGTGACTTGGTTGGAAGGTGGACTTCATGGAAGACAGGAAATCCTGGAAGAAGATTCATTAGATACCTAAATTATAGGGTTAGTTGTTAATGTTGAAATTCTTCGTATTTTAGGTTTTTTTTCTTTATTTAATCTTGGATTATCCAGGATTTGAGTAAGGATTGCAAATTCTTTGATTGGGTGGATCCTCCACTCCCTAATTAGTGGTACAAGGACTTGCTCTTACAATTACACAATGGGTGGAATGGAGATGTTGTAGAACAAATAGAAGGAGCAGTAGTAGAAGTTGTTTTAGCTCAAGTGCAAGGTGCAAGTGGTGTTGTTCCACGGTGGTCAATGATGTTGTTTATTTTGGGTTTATGGTTTGTATTTTAAGATAATGTAGTCACTATGTATGATGTTGTTTCTTTTGCAATGTAATCAACAATTCACTTTTGTTGTATTGAATTACGGAGAAATCAAAGTATAACCTACTATGAACCAAATATGAATAATAAAACTGTCATTAACCAAGGCTAACCTGCACAACCACATTTGAACTAAAATATGACATTGACCAATTCTGACCATTGCTTAGTTACCAGTAATTATTTACAAAATATGAACCAATATAGGTAGATATGTACCACCATTTATAAAATATGAACCAAAAGATGGTATGCAATAGTTTACATAGTACCACCTTTTACAAAATATGAACCAAAAGATGATATGCAACAATATTTATAAAATACTAACCAAAAGATGATATGAACCAAATTGATATAACCCATATCCCTAATCTAAAATTAATGCCTTATCTTGACACATTCCTATACCAAGAGGGTCAGCCACCTCCTTTTTCAGCTTCTGAAGAATAATCCTCTTTGAGGGTCTCCTTGTTCTTTGTTGCATATTATTCCTAAAATGCCCTTGTTGTACTGGATCATTCACCGAAACAGCTTCAACTCCTTCTCCACTATCTTTATTTCCTTGAATATCATCATTTCCTTGAACATCATCATCTTCAACTCCTTCCACTCCAACCCCTTCTCCATCTCCTTCTCCATCTTCTTCTTCTCCATCTCCTTCTCATTCTTGTCCACCTTCTTCTTCTTCTTCTTCTCCATCATCTTCTTCTCCAACTCCTTCTCCTTCTTGTCCATCTCCTTCTTCTTCTTCATTACCTTGTCCCTCTCTTCCTCTTTCCATTCCATCTCCTTTTCCATCTCCTTCTTCTTCTTCTTCTTCTTCTTCTTCTTCTTCATTACCTTGTCCCTTTCCACCTCCTTCCACTCCATCTCCTTGTTCATTTCCTTCTTCTTCTTCTTTATTACCATATTCATCTCCTTCCAGTCCACCTTCAACATTGGCAACCTAAAACAGAAAAAACTTGAAATTAGTAAAAAAAAAAAAAAAACTGAATTATGTACATAAACACTAAATGAAACCTTACTACATATTCAAACTCTTCTAAATGAGCTTTTGTAATTCCAAGGCATCTCATAATGTTTACATCATTGCAACCTGAGTTCCTCAACTGTGTAATTTGTTGTATAATGTAGTCCATATTTGCCATATCTAGTCCATCTCCATCAGTTACCATATCTACATCCACCATCTCATCAGATTTATATTCTTCATTGACCATTTTGGGGTGGTATTGTATTTGAGGTTTTACCTCTTTCAAACCAGCTGTGAAAGCCACCTCCACCTCTAGGTACTCTACCACCTCCTCAATTTCCCCTTCTCCTACGGTTCAATCTTGGTCTGCATATCTTCTTTTTGGGTTTAGGATCTGGTTTAACATGTGGATTTTATAGCTTTTTTGTTGTGCCCCTTTTGTTGATTGTTTTGGCATTAGATAGTTTTGCCCTTTGAGGATACTTGGGAGAACTTTCCATCCCTCTCTGAGACATGCCTTTTCCTCTTCACAGTAGGCCTGCCTGGTATCCTCCTCTCTAAGGGAAGTAAGGGCTTAATATAAGGAGCTTCTACCCATAAATTGTTGCCATTGATAGGTAGAGTGTTAGAACTATAACTTGAAATGTACATTGCCTTACCAAACCACCTGCTGATAAATGTCTTTTGGATCCTGGTGAGTTAAATGATAGATGCTTGGGCATGGAAACATGATATCCCTGATACATCCCAAAGTCTACATGCACAACTCCTTCTCTCTATGTTGACTCCATATGGTTCAAAACCATTTCTAACTTCAAATTCATTTTGACCACTAGGGTGTACCCTCAAAAACCTCCAAATAAAAGTTATTACTAAGTCAGCATAAAGTTATTATTAACTTAGCATAAATGAATACAAAAAAGGAGAACTTACTTCAAGTCCTCACCAAACTTCTCCATTTTCTTTATTGCAGATGGATACACATCACCTTCCTATTTTTCAGCTAACTCCCTGAGGTTGTAAAACCTTACCATCATATATAGCCTTATCTCTTCAAGCATGGTGAGTAGTGGCTTCTTCCTAGCATCAAGTATAATTGCATTGAAGCATTCTGCCATGCCATTTTCTACAACCTCACAGGCTAATCCAGTAGAAAAGAAAGCCCTGCACCATGTCTTTAGCTCCCTTTCCATTAGATGTTCATAAGAACCTGGGCTAATCTGTGTAATCTCATCCATGTTATTCTTGAATTCCCCCTCTACAATTGATTTGGCAGCCTTCCAGAATAGATTCCTTAACTCAATTCCATTGTATACTTTTTTGAAGATGGCATAGATATGACGTGCACACTGTCTATGCTCAACATATGGTAACACCTCCTTTGTTGCCTCAAGAAGACCCTTATGTTTGTCTGAAATTACATATATACCCCTTCCTCTATCCATTCCAAGGTCAACCTCTAACAACTGAGGGAACCACTTCCAGTTAAACTTATTCTCAATGTCAACCACAACCCAAGCTATGGGAAAAACTTGATTGTTTGGGTCCCAACCTATGGTTGTTAATAATTGTCCCTTACACTGCCCTTTCAGAAAAGATCCATCAATCCCTACCATCCTTCTACAACCCGTCTTCCACCCTTCTTTGATTTATTTGAAACATATGTACATCCTCTTGAAAGTAGTTGTACCATCATTGTTGTCTTCAGCATAAATTTTAATGGTGTTATCTGGATTGGATCTTAGCATCTCACCACCATAATCCCACACCCTTGCATAGTGATCACCTAATTTCCCTAAATCATGGACATTGCCCTACATCTAGCCCTATAACTCCTTACCCATGAAATCTTAGTGTGAAATTTGTGTTGAACTTTTTCTTGGATTTCCTTAGCTGTCAGATTAGGTATCCTAATAAATACTTTAAGGAATTGTCTAGCTAACCATGTTGGTCCCATAAGTTTTCCATTGTTAAAATTCTTGACACATGTATGATGTGGATACATTTTCTTTATTTGGAATGACTTTTCAGTACTCATCCAAGAGGCTTTAACATAATAAGGACAACTAAATTTCTCAGGATCACTAGCACAAACACAATGTAGTCTAACACTATCACTTTATTAAACTTAATCTGATAACCTTTAGATATGGCATGATTTGTTAAAAAAAAGTTTAATTTACTGTGGAGATTCATACCTTTCTCCTTCTTGAGGTTTCATTCTATTCCATTTCACGTTTGGATGATGTGTGGAATATTTAAACTCGACTTCACTATCATTTGCCTCTTCTTCCACATCTTCATCTACATTTTCTTCCTCCTCCTGTTCCTTATCCAAAGGTTCTTTTCCACAAGTGCTTCATCATCTTCAACATTCTCAAATAATGGGATTATGAACTCTTCATCTTCATCGTCAAGACATAGTGAGTTCAAGAACTCATTTCTACATCTCCTACTATGTTTCTTTAGAAGGTCTTCATCTGGTTCCACGTCGATTGCGTCAAAGTCTAACACACCTTCCATCTTCAAGGCTCCAGCTCATATCTCCCTCAGACTCGAACTTGTATATCCCTCATAGTAAAAACCTAGAATCATCGCAGTAGAAAGAGGTTTTTCTGCTCGATTAACCCTTCTTCATTTAATGATGTCCTTGTGTTGAGTCACCCTCCAAGTAAACTTTAGTAACCACATCAACTCGATTACCGGCTATTAAATGAGTTACCAAAAAGAAAGGGAAATCGTGTCAATAAATGTCGGTAATTAAGGCTTTTGTGTCAAAAAAAAAAAATTAGTTTGGGACTTTCGTGTCAATTTGATGAAAATATTGGGACTTTACTGTATATATCCCAATTTATTTTTTTTAAAAATTAAATATTACTTATATCCTAACAAAATAAGTAAATAATCATAAAACTTTGGCATATTCAGTCGTATAAATATTTAAATCATCATATATTAATCTTTAGACTAATCGGGGATATTTTTAATAGTTTTAGACATCAATCATTATAATTTAGTCACTCAATATCATAAATTTGACTAATTGAGGAGTTTTTTTTTTCTTTTTAATTTGACTGTCTGATTTTTTAATCGGCTTAGACCGTCTAGACCACCTAGGACCACCCATGACTGCCTAGGGCCGCCTATGATCGACTCCTCTTATCTCAACCGACTAACATTAATCTTAGACATTAAGAGGTCATCTAGTGCCTAGGGCAGCCTAGGTCGATTTTTACGGTACTGCTTACATATGACCTTCAATCCTCTTAAGATTTCGAAAAACATGGTAATTTCTTTCTCTAGCTTCTCAAACACTTTTGCATCAACATATGTCATTCTCTCAAGCTCATAGTTGTTGTCTTCAGTGTCATGTAGAGTAATGATGCATTTGTCACTAACAGATGAACATCTAAACATTAAGACAGTCGAAACACATTTAGGCATTTCCTTCATTTCTTTCATAGAGGAATTCCTTTGATCCTTCAAATTCTTATGGATTTAGATTGATATTTCATTGTTCTTGACCAATAATAATAATATCTTCCTAGTGGATCGGAAGTGAATCCATGAATCTGTGTAATATATAATAATCACATATATGCATCCTCACCTTCTACAAGTCAGTTATCATTGTGTTAAACCTAGAATGGGTATGAGACAACATATTTTATTACAAAATAAAAACATTTTTTCAATAACCGATGTAGTTCCTGTTAGATTAAGTTGTCTAAGCTCATAACTAAACTGGTATAAACTTGAAAATAAAGACAAAGTCGTTTTGGGTTGCCATCATAACTAGAAATAACTAGAAATGATATTAGGAGGGGAGAGGAGAGAGAGAGAGAGAGAGAGAGAGAGAGAGAAAGAAATGATTTGTTAATATATTATGTGATTAATATATTAATTGAAAAGAGATAACTGATCTGTTAATTTGTTATAGGATTAATAAATTAACATGATATAAATAGTTAACTAATCGATTTGTTAATTAATGGTTAACAAATTAATAAGAAATCAATTAGAGTTAATTAATTATTAATCAGAGTTAATCGGAAAATTAATTTCAGATTAATTAGAGTTAATTGAAGGTGTAAGGGTTGAATTGTAATTGTTCAATATTTGAACAAAACAAGACAATTCTAGAACCATCAAAGAGTGGATGTTTTGGAGGCCCTTGTAAGGTTTCTCGAAGCCTCTAGGATAAAGATAAGGAAATGATTTAAATTGGTATTAAATCTATTATTTAATTAATTCAAATCTTGTTTTGCGTGCAAATTACCTAAACTATAAATAGGACCCCACGACCAACAAATTTTGTTCATACCTTTATCATAAGGCCTAGAAAAGAAATTTCCTTCTCCTCCCCCTCTTTTTCCTCATCATTCTAGGGTCTCTAGGGTTTTGGGTACAAACCATTAGAAATACTAAACTTTTGGTGCTTGCTTTCCAAGGTTTTCAAGAAGGATATTGGGGTGATTATTTTCTATAATGATCAAAAGGTATGTAACCCTAATCTTATATATATATATATATATATATATATATATATATATATATATATATATATATATATATATATGTATCGATTATAATAGGTTACCGTTAGGGTTCTTAATGTCCACAGCCATCGGTTTCTTCATATGTGATTGGATGAAGTCTTGAGCTTCTCCTTAGTTAAGTTACATACATTACTACACTGCATGTAAGTACATTACACTATGCGTCTTACCATAGAAATCAGTTAAAAAATATGATAGTAATTACAGTAATGTCAAATTCAATGTAGAATTTTGGTTCACATACATACAGTAAGTGAAAACTTATCCAAACAAAGGCTTACAAAAAACAATTTACAAGACATCAAGACTGCATAAAAGTACCTAAAGATCAAGTAATATTTAAGCACTTTTCTCATACTAATCCTCAAGTATTGTATTCTTGCTATTACAAAATCCAAAGATTGTGTATATCTTCATCATTGGACTTGGAATACATGTTACAAAAATAATTTATTTAAAACAAAAATATCTCATGAGATACATATGTTTTCACACAACAACAATTTTATTTCAAATCATTTACTATGTCATTGGTTTAAAAACCTTTTAAACTTAATCTACTTTAATGAAAAAAAAATCATTATTCATGTAGTTATGCAATATAATGCAATGCATGATCCAAGCACACATACTGTATGAAAAAACCCCTACTAAATCACTTTATTTCCCTTACTCACAGTAAAAAGAACAAATAAACTCATTAAGAAAATGAATCATATATAATACGCCTTACCCACTTAGGTGTAATCATATAACATATGCATAATGAGCCTTACCTAACTAGATCAACATCCTAATGGATCATACCTACTTAGATCATTCTAATAGGCCTTTCCCAAATGTAGAATAGAGAAGACTACTTTACGAAGGGAGCTAGCATTCTAGTGGTTGTGCTATTTTCTAGACCATTACAATGCATTATGCAATCCAAATTCAAGCATGTATGCATGACCAGACCACCATCACCCATTACTTTCAATTCAAATATCATTCAAACTACTTTTATGAAATATATGGTAACAATACTTGTATATAAAAAACTTTCATTAGAACATACATTTTAAAAGGATCCTTTTGAAACATACTAATGTAATTTTATTAATAGAAAAGAGTGAATTCTAGGTTTAATCATTTGTAATATGTATCCCCAAATTAATAAAAATCCATATACACTCACCTTGTGATCTTAAAGCGAAGTTAACCTCAACATTTATCTTGTACAACATCAACTTCCAAACCATTCCTAATATCCAAATATATACATTAATGTCAAAATAGTTCAAGAATATTAATTCTAGCATCTTACTTTCACTCCAATCAATATCCTTAGCTAATATTTGGTATGTAGTAATTAAAGAGGTATTAGAATTAAGTGTTATGGTGGAATGAAAAAGTCTTGTTTTAGTTTCCGTAAGGAATGGAATGAAGCATTTTTCATAGAATGTGATCCCTTCTCATGGAACAATTTTCATTCTATGGGGAAGAGGTGGTTTTTGCCATTCCTTTGGGAATAAAATTATATATATAATATATATATATATATATATATATATATATATATATATATATATATATATATATATATATAAGGGATAGGGAATATACATTACAGCCCCACCTAAGCTTAGGTACTAAACTTCTAAAATATGTCGTTTTAACTTAATAAATATATTTTGTTTGGTTTTTACTTGGTAAATATATCATCGTCGATAACATTTCTTTCCTCCATTAACTATAATTTAAGTGATGTGCACGGAAGTACCCGCTAATTTTAATATTTATAACCTAACAAACTTAGACTAACTATGCACTTATAGGCAATGTACCTAGTCAGATTACTGTATAGCTTAGGTAAGTCAAGTTTCAGTCACAGGGAATGGTGTTATCAATTACTTTATTTACTACTAAATTAATCTAATTATTAACAAGCTAAAAGAGTTTTTGTCTAATTTTACAAGTTTAGATGAACTTAATTCTTTAACAAAAACTTAATCAACAAACAAAACACTTCTGTTAGTTCGAATCTGCTTTCACTCAATGGTTATACATTAGCTATA